CCATAAAGCTGTTCATTTCTCACATTGCCATTCTTTTTGTTTATTAATATTCCAGTGAAAACTCGTGTTTCCTAAACTGCACTAGAACAGGTGAACAGCTGCAGGGTTTTTTTGTTTTGCTTGTTTCCAGCCTTGGATGAACTGGTACTTAGTAACTATTAAGATGGAGACTATGGATGGTAACTGTATCTGACAAGACATCTGCCATGGGAATATATTCAGTAGGTACCTGAAGCCGTAACATTCACTGTACATTGCCCAGCTTTGGAGAATGCAGCATAATATTATGGTTTTATATAAATTTAAGGCCCCTGTTTGGAGGGGTCAAAAGTGGTGAGTGAATGTATTGAAGGACATGGAATTAAATTATTGATATGAGTCTAATACTTTGGAACACAGTGTTTTAGACATTTGCCCAAGAGAAAGTAGAAATAGTCTCATATGCAACATTATTCCTTTTCACATAGCACCTCTTGGTGGCTTTGGGGAAGCAGGTGAATGAAAAGGAAGGGAATATAAATAGTGATTCCCAAATTGTAAGAATGTCCATTATCATAGTGTTGTTGATGTGATATAAAACATTTCATAAGATGGCAGGCTCTAGGAATGCAATGCTGTTAATTGAAAAGCAGTTAATAGAGAAATAATTGCTATTTGCTGGCATCATTATCTAAAGGAGCCCTTTCCTAACTGCTCCAAACTATATTTTCTTATTGTTTTACTACTGCATGCTTTAATCTGGAAGCAGCTGCCATTCTGACAGGCTCTTTCTCATCTCATGTTATCTAGGGTGGAATTCAAAGGCTGATAGTGTATTTGCCTCATTGGTGCTACTGTTTTTAAACATCTGCTGAAATTGAGCATACTACTTTTTCTTGAGAGACTCAATGCTCTGTATCTGACTACAGGTGATACTTAATGATTTTTGTGTGATATTCAGCTACATGTTAGATAAATAGGATTATCAAACCTTTTGTCTCATCACACTCCAACCCAAGTCTTCTCCCTCCCACTGACTGCCTATTTCATATGATTTTTAACATATTTTAACAAGATACCAAGTTTTTTCAGTACTGTACATCAGAGAGTACTTTCCTGGTTATCTTTATGGTCTCTTGTGGTTTTAGGGCTTTTAAAAAGACAGATTATTCTTAGATGATATTTTAAATTTTCATAATGATTTTCTGCTTTTATGTTGTCCTGAGTTGGATGAGGTGTCTGTGCATTGGTTCTATGTTTGTAGAGATATTTTAGAGGTGAAATGGAACAGGCAGGAACACATTTTGAAAACTGTTAACTGTTTTTGAGTGAATTTTGCCTTTTTGAGTTCTTCCTTAAGGTGACTGTGTTCAAGAATCCCAGAATTTATGTAATCTAAATCAATATTTATTGCTGAAAATAGAAGACAAACCATTAAAGTTTCTGGTCCAGTTCTGTATCAAACCATTGGTAGAATGCTGAGTACTGATACCTGTACACGCCATCTCATCATGTTCTCTTCCATTTAGGCATTAGGTTCAGGAAATATATATTTCACAATATACTGCTTCTCACTTAATCTACCTGCAGGTTCCTGTCATCAAGTAATTAAAATAATGAAAACTGGTAAGCAGAGTGGGCAAAGATCCCTTACTTGTAATATTGAACTTGTAAATTATTAAACAAGCATCATCACTGTCAGGTTATTATTTTAAGCATCTTTTTCAGGTGTTGGTGTTGGTTACTCAGTGCTTTGAGATGAGGAAATAGCAATGAAACAAGACTATACACTTAATAACAGGACTGAATTTTGTGTTCAGTATTAAAAAATAAAAGCAGCTTTTAAAACCTCCTTTAGTAATCTCTGTAAAATTGCATAATGACTTGGGGATAAACTTTTCCTAATACTTAACTGCCAATTAAGGAAGATAAAAAGCTAGCTATGCAGATGAAAAATATAAAATATCCCAACTGAATACAAATATTACATAACAGCAACTAATCTGCATATTAATTATAGCTACAATAATGGCAAGAGCTAGGCTGATCATGAGATGTTGTTCCAAATCATATTTGGCAGGGGATGATTGTTTTACTTAAATTTTAATTAAGAAATAATATGGGTGGGAGATTTAAATAGAGGTGAAATAACTAGTATAAATACAGGAATATAGTCATTCAAATGTATTACAGACTTTAATAGCTTTAGAGAATCAAATACTGAGTAGGTTTATCATGTTTGACTGCTCTATTCTAATGGCAACCAAAACGGGATACAGCAAAAGAACTGGAGGTTATGAAAACCTTTTCAAAATATAAAAGCTACCTTTCTCCTTCAATTAAGTAACTTGCTACTATTTCATTGAGTGCTAGGAAATTTTAATTTTTTTTTTTAATATTTTATGAGCAATCAGATTTTTGACAAAATGATTGGGGGTAAAGAACATGTACACTGTAAAAGAATTTTCTAACCTTAATACTTAAAAATTCACTAACATAAAATAGACTTTTTCATTCAGCATTTTGTTCAATGATCTGTAGTTGTGTGTTTTTAGCAGGTGTGCATCCATGCACTTTTAAACAAGGATTGCTGGGTGAAATGATCAAAAAAGACTCTGGTTTCACACTGATTCTGCCGATGACTTCTCTAGTGACTGAGTTAGGCACCTAATCACCACCTCAGTTTCTTATCTGAGAGGAAGAGATAATTATACTTCCTTTACTATGAAAACCATATTAATTCATTCAGTATAAAGTTGTATAGAGTATGAAAGCTCACTGTGCAATGCAGAGGAGGACCATGGTGCAAAATCTGGTGTGTGAAGCTTACAGTTCTGAAAGACAAGCTCTAGCAATTACAAAAGGCAGAGAAACTGGTGGGAAGAGGGAAAGAAATGGCATGTGTAGTATTTTTAAGCATCCTGTAGCTGTTGGGACTGTGGGGTCCCATGGGCCAGGGCCTTGCCCAGCGCCATGGCTGGGGTGGAGGGGCAAGGCCCTGGCCCGGGGACAGCCGGGGACAGCAGCCTGTGGGTCCGGCAAGGGGAACCGGCTGGGAATGGGCTGTGGGAGCCCTGGACAGGGCTGAAATGGTGTCCTGGGCCACCGAGGGCGTCAGAGTGAGGGAAGAGCCTGGGGACAGCAGCTAGGACCAGTGAGGCCTTGGGGATATCTAGGTTGCCTAAGCTTCAAAATTGTTTAGAGTGTAGAGCCTAGTTTTCTCTTTCCTGGTTTATAATTGAAACTCTGATGGTGGTGATTCCTTTGGGAATGATCTCTACGGCTTTGTGATACCAATTGGCTCCAGCCAAGCATTGCTCTGCTGGAAACGCTTCCCTCCGTGTCGTACATCGCTGTCCTCTGCAATGAGCTCATTTCTGTAGGTTGTGCTCTGTGCGTGTGCAGCGCAGGATACGTCTTTCAATGCAAAACATCTGATTCACTGTGTCCAAATTTGTCAGTGAATGAGGTCCAGTTATGCAAATACAAAGTAATTTTAAACTTCTGTTGCATTATTTGCTTGGGAAGTGTACTGAATTACTGTTGTAACTCTGAATAATTTGTTATTATCGATGTAGTAACTCCACACTGTGCTGTAATCGCTAGTAAGAACATGGAGCCTGCTTTCTGGGATGGAAACTAGCAAAGAGAATCTGATTAGCTAATTAAGTTGCAATGTTGAGCTTCTCTAAAAGCAACTGTTGGTCTCCATATTACATTTTTAGCGTTGTTCCACTGTTCTTTGCTGACAGATTCAATGAAATTGCTTTATTAGTTCAGTGCTACCCTCAGGAAGTGCCTGTCCCCTATGTCTGGATGTGTCCTCAAGGCCGTCTCACAGCTATGGGTTTTGACCACCTCAGGGTAGCATTTCTACTGCAGTAATAAACACATAACCAGCATCAAGCATCTGTGCTTGTATGGAAGATATCCCAAAGGGGATTAATGGCAATTGATTTCCTGCTTAGTGGCCTACAGACAAGTAATCTATAAACAAGATCTTTCAAGGTCTTGGTCTGTGCAGAGTGCTTGGAACACTAATGCAGATGTAGTGCTCAGGACTTACTTCAGCACTGGATTTTGCTGCCTCTCCTGTTTTTGTTTAGCATAACTTGTCAAGTATTCAGGAAGTCATTAGCATTGTGCTGTCACCAAAGGCATGCTCACGGCACAGTCTGATACTTTGCATGCAATATGATTTAAACACTGTGCAATCCATGCTGGCTTTTCCTATCATTTCCCTTGATGTTTGTGCAGCACCCATGACTGTAGCACATGGCAGGCAGTTACAGAGCACGACATCCTTGCTGCAGCATCCATGAGCGACTGATCTGAATTCCAGTGCATGTGACTCGTCAGTGAGCCTGGTGCAGCTGAGGCTCCTCTAATTTCTAGCTCTTCATCCTGTGAGAGCTACTTACTGACAGAATAATTCCTGTGATATATTAAACACTTTCATTGAAACACAGGTTCACTGATAGCGTGGCAGCTCCCTGCAGATTCTTTATGATGGATTTTGTTCCCCTCACACTTGATAATTTCTGTCTAGTTACATCATGCTTCTCTGTGAAGGTTTACTCAAATAATTAATTCTAGTGATAGGAAATTAAAGTTGTACATAAATTATGTTCACACCTAGTATGCATTATTTTGAGCTGATACATCAAAAAGTCTTTCAGTATGTGTCTGACAAATTCATTTATATGTAACTCTGTAATTGCATATAGAGCTGTTGTCAATTATATTGCTTGTAAAGAAGGAACATACAGTATATTGGGGCTAAGTATATGTTTTGAAGATGTAATGTCAAGGAGAGTATTATTTTTTAGTTAGTCTGGTACCTTAAAGAACGTTTCTATTTCTTTTATTTCTAAAGAGAAGTGGCCAAGTAGGTTCATAATTTCACCTAGCAGGGATCCAGGAAGATAGATTTCCCGGTTTTTATGCATTTCTTGGCCCTACCTATATACTGGCTTTCACTGTCAAATTGCTAAACATTAACTAACCCAAATACTTTGCAGGAGGCCCAGAAGATCAATGGTGGTGGAGATACACAGGCAGATGGAGCCTGCAAACCAACAGATGAAAAAGAGGAAAATGTGGCAGCAGAAGTGGGATGGATGACGTCTGTGAAGGATTGGGCAGGAGTCATGATATCTGCCCAGACATTAACTGGCAGAGTACTTGTAAGTTTTCTATGATTTTCTATGTTTTTATTTTAAAGAATGTTTTTTAAGAAGCACTGTGTCCCAGCATTAGTGGAGGATTTTTGATTGGTTTGTTGCATCAGCACTGAGTCAGTCCCAATATTCTCTGTAAAACAGCAGACTAAGTACCACTGCAAGAGGGAGACAGAGACAGCAAATAGAAAAACTGCCAGTCCCCAGCCTATTTCACTACTCCAGCCCCATGATTTTGAACTACAAACAACGAATTGATGAATTTCATATTAGGTGTTAAAACTATAGACCTATTTTATCTGAAAGTAAAATTGTGCTTGGAAGAATGGAAGCAAACTTGGAAAATAAGTGATACAAAGGTAGAGAGTGGTCAGAACCAAATCAAAGACAGGATTGAATTGGCTATGGAACGAGATTTGTGATATATTTAATAGACTAATAATGATTTTATATTCTCTTCATATTTTTTTTTAATTGGCATAGAAATCCTTCAAACCTGTGAACAGTTACATATCAGATAAAGACAGATGATATCTATGGTTTAAAGAGAAAAAAAACTTTTTAGTTTTTCACTTTATTTAAACATAATTGTGTAAGAGCATTGTCAAATATTAAAATGCAAGGGTTTTCTGTGGAGTTCACTTTAGTAAAAAGAGTCTCCTATGTAATTTTGATTAGTTTTCTTTTTAGAATGCACATTACTTATGAACTAGAAGCTAAAGGAATTTAAATCCCAATTAAAAATTCAGAGAATCTCAGTGAAACTTTTTAACTAGTTTGGGTTAAACTGAAAAAGGGTTTGTGTCTTTGTTTACTTTGGTTAAAAGATATCTTACCATGAGTCAATTTTGGGCTATTAGAGTAATTATTTGGATGGGAGAGGGAATGGAGGAAAACAGATTGCACTTCTTAATCGAGTCTTCTACAGCAAAAAGTTGAGGTGAGTTAATTGCCACTGTATTGTTTGGTTCTACAGAAGAGTGTTTTGATTATTTTTCCTAAAAATACCATTCTTCACTTTTGCTTCTGTTAGTTGCTGACTTTTATCAATAGCTGGAAAGTGTGTTCCCTTGCTGCTTTTAGCACTATGTGTCCTCTATATGCAGCTGCCATATTCACAGTCTTTTAGTGATTGTTTTCTAAAACATGACATTTTGCATGTTTCCTGGCATCTTCAGTGTTAAAAATGAAACTATAAATGAAAACCCTTAAAGTCATGCTTCTAGTTCCAAAATAAGTATCAAGACTGAAAATCTCCCAAGCCAGAGTTCTCTGCTCCCACCTCTGCAGTGAGAGATTGGCCTGTGTTAATTTTACTGGGCTCCATGTGAACACAGATACAAACCAACACTTGGGACCAAAACCTAACATACACAATATAAAATATATTTTACTTCAATATAGTGGAAGAACTTACTCAACACTGTTTGATGACTTAATTTATTTCTTTTGTGGTATTTTTTAGAGTTTACCCTTGCATTTTATAAGGGACCAGCTGGCCAATGTCATTGGCTTAGGTTATTTCTGAGAGTGTATTTATGGTCCTTTCAAGGCATAATGGCACATATTGTGCACATCTGGGTTTATCAATATGCCTAACCATCTGAGAAATAAGTAGTGATGTATGGAACCTCTTAGTTAATTTTGGTCAGTTCAGAAAACAAGATCCATTTATTTTAATATAACACTTATCAAATTCAGTATTTGAATTGACAGGATATAATTTATGGAGGATCATTTACAGAATGGACCATTTGGCTGTTCATTTAAATTTTACTTTCTGAGAATATTTGCTAAAGGCTAACTGCTTCAGTTATGCTATTATGCTAGAGCATAATATTCTTATTTTTAGATAAGATTCTTATTAAATAGATTTAATTATTTTTAGATATAGGATGTAGCAAAATCAAATCAGTATTTAAGTTGAAGTGTATTGTTTGAAAATATTAGGACTTAATCATGGATTACTAATTTAATACACTCTGTTTCTACTATACTTTCTGTTTACTATTGTTTCTGTTTCTATATTTCTGAATTGAAGCACAGATTTTGTTTTTCCCCCTGAAGAAGGAGGAATTGGTGATTTCACAGTTCTCTGAAACCAAAATTGTATGACATATCTGTAGAAAAGGAATTACAGTATACTTTTACACTGTGAGAGTTTAAATTAAAATTTTTATACATCCAATATTTACAAAAAAATGTAAAAAGCAGTCCAGTGAAGATGGACTTGGGAAGAGTTGCAACTGAGCTTCAGCATGATCACCTGAAGGCTATTGTGGAACTGCTGCCTGGATTTATTTGGGAAGTGAAGGAGACAAGTTAATGCAGTGTGGAACACACATCAGTGTAAAGTAGAAGCTTATTTGTGTTTTCTCCCCATGGGAAAAGCTCCCATCATTATTCTTACTTGGACAGGCATTTTCTTTAAAATGAATCTTAGTGGAATGTCAAGTGCTGTTTGTGGAATCTAGAAGTAGGGCTACTTTTTGGAACTGTCTCTTCTGGGTTCTGTTGCCATATCTTTGACATGTCTGATGTAGCTTTTATTTCTTCCCTAGTAACATTGCAAAACAGCTTTCTAATTTATCGTATTAGTTTGTCCAGGTGCTTTGTGAATATTGAAACAAGTATTTAAATAGTGGGTGCTTCCATAATTACCTCTTTAATTTTCACACTTTATGGCTACCCATGGGTGAAGAAAATAAAGGCCAACAATATGGAAAATACAAAACAATATACATGTATAAAAGTTGTAGCTTCATAGTGTAGTACAAGATTGGACTTTTACATTGACATTGGACCATTTGTGCAATTCCCTAGTGAAATAAAATATTTCTATTTATACAACAGATGCAGACTTGAAGGCCTTAGGCAACATTGTAGTCATAGAACTACTTGAAAACTTTTAAGTCAGAAAATACTTTTTTCCAGCATAATTTACAAAATCATGTTTTATAGTGCATCTTCTGGAAAGTAAGGGATATTACTTGTTATTCATTGTCTGAGTCATTGGAGAAAATTAATGAAATTATTTAATCCATTCAGAGAAAAACACTGAAGTCTTTAATAGAGATGATTCCCCTCCACACTAGTTTTCTTAAAAATGTTTAGTTCCTTGGTGGTTGTGAGGGAAGGAAGGGCTCTGTGCCTGAAATGAATGTTGAAAAATCCCAGCCATATTTGTCATCGCCTTTCCTCCCATTCCACTCATTAGAGAGAAAATTACATTTAAAGACTAAACAAAGAGGAGAAATTAGAACCTTTTTGTTGTTGTTGGGAGCATTGTGAGAAACAAGAATGAGAGATGTTAAATAGTTATATTGAATTTTCAAAGTATTTTACTGTCACTTGCTTACCATTATGTCAACTGAATGTTTCCTAGGCTGTAATTCATGTCTGTAAGAGATGTAAAAGTGCCATGTGCATGGGATTGTACTAATACTGAATTGTTTCACTAGTTCGTGTGAAAATAGTGAAAAACATTCTTACTGCTTTAGCAGCTAAATTCTATTGCTGACATTTCATAAGTGGTTTAGGCACAAAGATAATACCCAGTTTCATCTGAAGGGCAGGCTTTGGAGGAAGAGATTTGTATAAGGAGATGCAGAATGTCCTTCAGTTAGAGACTGTCTTTGTTTTTTGAAGTAGTGCAGCTGGCTAAGCATGGTGCCTCCAGTAGTGTGGCCAGAATATTCTTTTTTCCTCATACTTTACCTTTGAGAAGCACGATTGGAACATAATGTTCTTGATGCCACAACCTTTGAAAATGTGACTTTTGCTCATAAACAATGTAGATGGGAATTTGACATAAGGTTTAAAAATGTGTCCACGTTAAATTGCGTAAGCACATGATTTAAGAACATGCTAATTGAACCTGTGCAGTTCTGTCTGCATTTGATGTTGAGTGGCATAAATATAAATAACAGTAAAAGGTAACAGTTTACCTAAAATCTGTTCAGGGAAATACTCATTTACTTTGAAGTGTGGTAAAATGCTGTAGATGATGGAAGTATCAGATTTCTGAGGTGGGTTTCTCAAAGGAGAATCAGACACATTCATAATTAATCTCAAGATGCAGGAAATTAAACATGTTTATAAACTGATTTTGCTTCCTGAAATTATATAATTTGAGTAAGAAGAAAAAGATTTCCTTAATTAGACGGAGTGTTTCATATACAGAAGAAAGTCATATGTATATTGTTGAATTTGACACGGTTCAGTCTATGGAAAGCTGTAGGCCCTTGTCTGGACTTCTGAACTATTAAAAAATGGCAGAGGGCCTCACTACTCATTTGGGGAAAAACAGTGGATCTTTATATATAGTAAAATTTCCTGGGAAATATATGTAGGTGTTTTATATGCTTCTTGGTTTTGTTTGTGTGTTTTGGTTTTTTTTCAGTATTTTTCACAACTAGATTTGTTCTTGCTGCTTTTTATTTACTTTTAAATTTTTTTATTCCAAATGAGAGGACTCAAATTCTTTTAATGTTGAGGGGGAAAAATCTCTCACAATCTCTTGTGATAAGTAATAGTTGTCTAGCTGCCAAAGTGAAATGAAACAGTTCAGAAATTGTGGGGTTTCTCCCTGTTTCCAAAGACAGTGACTGTTGTCTCATTACTCTAATGAGAATAGGAGCTCAAATATAATTTGCTATTTGGCAGATAAGAAATTGGAGGAGCAGGTGTGGTTGATATGCATATACATTTTCTGACAGTGTTTTTGACAGTATCAGCTATTTCACTAGATTTTCAAAGCAGGAAGAGAAACCTCGGGGAAACATGAGTATGCAACTTCTCAGAATTTAAATATGACGTTTGATAAGTTTTCTCAAGGATAAGCACAATTTGGACCATCTCATCCTGGAAATGTCCTGTAACCAATCTTTTTGTGAAACTAACATACTATTTTTTTTTTAATTTTTTTTTTCCCCCAAGCATGCGTATGTGCAGTTAATCTGAATAGGACTTAATTTAGAATAAAATATATTGATTGAATAGGGAAT